GCTGGGGTCATTTGAGCTTAAACTTAGTAGGGGTCATAAGAGACCTTTATTCATTTCTGCCTAGGGCAGGGGGTCAGACTAGATGATATGCTCAGGTCCCCTCCAACCATACTTCTATGAAACTATGAAATGTTGTTAGAAGTACAAGTGTTGAGGACCACTTGCCTAGTGGCCTCAACCACAGTGCCACTTGGGTCAACATACCCTAACAAAAAGGGAAATAAAATTAAAAATAAAACAATACTGAAATAAATGCCAGGTAAAGCAGTGCAATGACAGCTTACCCCACCACTTGATAATATGCAAGCACTGAAATAGTTTCTTTACAAAAATAAGCATATTTATCTGTTCACAGTCAAAAATCCCCAGAAGACAAAAGGACAAAACCCAGTGAAGGAAGTAGTGCACTGCACTCTGAGCAGGCTAAAGGATGAGCAGTTCCACACCTCCTCAACACTCCTGGCATTCACAACAAGGAAAAGGTAAGTGTACACACAATCCTAGCAAACATGACTTGCCAGAAGTTTCAAGCTGACTCATACCAATAGTACCAGTAAATGGAATATTTGGATTTCCTCCTGAGACTTAACAGTACTGGCATTTCCCCAATGTGGGCATTCCAAAGTCCTCCAATCCTCTCCACCCCCTTGTTACTGCCATTTTGGTTGACGAGAACTAAACAGACTTCAGCTTCCCTGTAGCTGAAGTGTTTGCTACTGAACAAACAAATGAATTCCTGGCGTGGCCCAGGTGACTGTAGGGGCACCTAAATCTGTTCTAGTCAGGGACAGCTTTGTGATACAATTTAGTCATGAAAGTACCTGTACAATCCACCTTCAAACTTCAAATCCTAAAATCAATTATTCTCCCAAGGAAGTGTTAAACAATTAAATTCAACTTTCAGTTCTCTCTCCAAAGACTATCTCCAATATTATAGTAGGATATTTTTATTTCAACTAGTCTATTCAACTGGGCTGGAAGTCCTGCAACTGAAGGGACTCTCAACCCCAACAGCTGCCAACTCCAGGCCCCAGCAGCACCCCACAGCTGCAGAGTCTAGCAGTCCCGGACCCAGCTAAGTCCTGGCAGCCACAGGGCACAGCTGCAATCTCCCAGCCCCAAGGGGCTTCATGCATAGGATGACCATAATTATTTTAGGGAAATCGAGGATGGGGAGGCCAGGGGGCACATGCACACACGCCAGGGCAGTATGTGGCAGCAGTCAGGACCAGAGCAGCCATCAGGAGTGCAGTGTCTCTCTCACCGGGGCTGTGGGCCGAGGCCAAGACATACTGGGAAGCGTGGTGCCTGTCTCACTGGAGCCAGGGCTGTGGGCTGGGGCCAGGGCCAGGGCACCAGCCAAGCTGGGGACGCTGCATGGGCTCAGTCTGCCCCATGCTAACTCATAGCTCCAGTCCCATCTTGGCCCCTGCAGCTGCATCATGGCCACGTGCCCCCGAGCCAGGCAGGTACAGCAAGCCCCAGCCTTGTACTCCACCTCCCCTGGTTAGGGCTGGGAGCAGCCAGGCCAGGCTGAGCTCTCTGGATGGGGGTTGTGATGCAGCTGGCCTGGGCCGTCCCAGAAGCACATGGCCAGGCTGGTGCCAGGGTGGGGCCAGAGCCCTGAGTCAGCACAGGGCACACAGAGCCCACTCAGCACCCTCAGCCCAGCCAGTGCCCCAGCTCAAGCCTGCAGCCCTAGGTCCACTGACAAAGGCACCAGGCTGTCCAGTGCATCCTGACAACTGTTACAGCCCTGCCCACTGCAACACAAACACACACAAACATATGCACAGTCTCCAGTGTATTAGCACTGCAGCAACCAGGAGCAGGACCAGGCAGGACAGCATGTCACACACGCAGAACCCTGCCCAAGCAGCTCTCAGGTTCCCACAGATCTGGGACTTTTGCTTAAATTTTCTCCAATGGCTCAGACTCTGAAAGGCTATAAAATCTGGGATATATGGGTACCCTATTCACGCATTTTTGGGACTGGGAGATCACATCAGTTGCATCTCCCAGCTGCAGGGGGTACATGGAGTATCCTTGTGGCTGGAAGCCACTCGGCTGGGGGGATCCTAGTCATGGCAGCTTTCTTCTTCCTGGTGCAATTATGGGCTCCCCCTGTACTGGCAGTAAGGCGCAATGAGATCTAATGCATGATCCCACAATCACGCTTCCTACCATGCATGTGTGGCATGGCAGGAGGTGCAATGGTGTGGACTGCACATTAGATCCCATTGTGCCTTTACCTGCACATGTAGATGGGGCCCAAGACACATTACAGCAATGTCAAGTTAGTTGTTTTTTTTCTTCTGTTTGCACAAAAGCTTGTAGTCAGAGAATTTTACTATTCCCTGGATGTGAGAAATGTTCTAAAGTGAAGGTTATTGTTCTTCCCAAAGCATTAGGAAGTTTTTAGAATATGGCAGAACTAATGCAGCTTCTACCAAGAAAAATTACTCACTTTTGTGCGATCTCGTCATTTTGTCCGATTTGGCAGAAGCATCTTTGACTCGGTTGTGGTATTCTACAAGGAATGTCCTTTCATGCTCAAAGAAGTCATCTACATCCTATAAGACAAACCAGACTTTTATTCCTATTTTGTAATAGTTTGTGCAATCACCACAACTGCATAAAGTTAAATAATTTACACTGCAAACAATCATTTTGTAAGCCACATATGAAAGTTTGTTTCTCTTTAATTACTTGTCGAATAACAGGTGTAAGAGTAGAAGCCTTTCTTGCAATATTTTAGACTCTGTGGGCATGTCTACATGAGATGCTACTGCATTGTGGTTACTGCACATTTATCTAGTACTTGTATAAGCAAATGCTTATACAAATACTAAATAAGTGCACAGAAACCAGAGTTACTGCACAGTAGCACCACCAAACGTCTTAAGTGATGCTACTGCACAGTAGCACATCACACCACGGACAATGCTAGTATGCTACTGCACAGTATTATTAGGCTACTGCGCAGTCAGCGTCTCGTGTAGACACACACATTAGAATCCCAATGTCAAGATGAGCATATGGATGAATGAAGAAACTCTCCATTTAAAATCTAAATTCATTTGCAAGAAGTATCTTTCACCTAGGTCATCAGCTACATTCTAACCCAAACCAGTTGTCATCCTTCATTAAACTTATTCCCATCCCTCAACTGTATGTATGCTCAAGCCCCCATAGACAGGTATCTAACTATGTAGAAGGATTACTTATAAAGATGTCAAATGGTGTCACTTGTAGTTTCAGGAACCTTGAACTCCTCTGAGATTCTGATCATTCAGGTAACCCAGTACATGGGTCATTCAAGCTGGGGTGTCAAAGGTAGTTTGACAAGATGCCAACCATACCGCTCCTGCGCCATCAACTGGTATGACAGCCTAGTAGCTCTCAGGGCTAACATGGTTTAGTCAGACCTTTGGTCTACACCACTTTCAAAACAATAACTATAATGATTGGAAGAAGCCAAAATGTTTTTAAACAACACTAAATTTGCCTAATGTAATCTTGCATACAAGATTGAAAAATGACACTCATTTATTCTGTTTCATTTTTCTTCTTGAATAAAGGCTGTTATCTACCTTGCCCTTTGGATTCCCTTGCACCACGAGCAATTAATGGTTGTATTCACCATGTCCAGTGTCTCTTAAAAATTCAAGAGCACACAATTAGGAAAGTTAGGGGACTTGAAATATCCACTCACTCACTTGTAGTAGCAAGTGAGAAACTTTTACTAGAAACTAAGTCAGGTTGTAAGTCAGAAACTAATCAGACCTTAAATTTCTGTTATTGAAGCATTTTATTTCCAATGAACACTGAACCAAGAATATCTTGACAAAAGTTAACTAAGTGCCAATTGCTTCATCATGTTCTTCCTGAATTTGCAGATAGTCCCCGTGACTACAGCTACTCACAGGTTTGAAAAGCTGATGAAGAGCAAAATTTACGAAGTAGCAGTCAAATTCACTTCTATATTTAGAACTATTGTACAGTAGTGAAATGTTTCACACTGCTATTTGGGGAAACTACAAGCAAAATCAAAGTAAGTACCACTTTCGTAGGTGGACAAAGATGCCCCCTCCACCCAAATAAAGTTGGGAAAAGAACAGCTTCATGTAAGCAGCAGTCAAGCAGCTCTAAAAGGAGTAATAAGGGTGGAAGGAGAACCCTTGTCCAGCAAATAAAAAGGGATGTCTCAATATTCCAATACTACTAGTCAAAGGGGGAGGGACATGAATGACAAAACCTACAAAAGTGATCCCAGTATACCACTCATCTGTCTCAATAAGCTGGTGTTTCAGCGAGACTAGTTTTCTGACCAGGCACTCACTTAAACTTTGCCTGTGGGGTCTCACGACCACCTACTTACATCCCTTTACCTCTGCCAAAAGAACACTGACACATTTGCAAAACTGAAATTACATGTAGCCAAGGAAAAGGGTAATAATGTACCTGATGAGCACAGGATATGTCTGTTTTTGTAACCATTTCAGACTTACCTTAAACTGGTAATACGTTAGTTTAAAAAAAAGTAAAACAGTTAAAATAGCCAAGAAAGGAATCACCTTTACTCCTGACACAATGACACCATCTGCTGATTTAACCATGTTTTTAAAGAAGTCTTCAAGTTTCTCTTTCTTATTTTTTCCACGAACACTCAACTGAAAGATAAGATCACATCTCAAGTCAGCATGTTCAAAGGCAAGAAAAGCAGCAATTCTGCATTACAACAAGCAAATTTCAACAAACAACACAGCTCCTTTGACAGTCTCACTTCATCTGTCTAATGACCCACTGTTTGCTAATCTAGATCAAGCAAAGTATACTACTATATTTAGTAGTTAAAAGAACTCTGATCACTGGCAGACACCTAATACATGGGGGGAGCAGTTTGGGGGGCAGGGTTATAAAAACATGCATCTTTATAGTTAAGGAAAAATACTAAATTGATTTGCATACACTCACATTTCTAGTAACTTCAGTTACATACATATTTTCAAACACAATAAGAGGCTAGAACAAGCCCCTAGACTCTACTCTTCCTTACAACAACAATTCCATCATCTTCAGAAATTTGTAATCCATTTCCTTCTCACTACCATCGAACTCAAGCCTCCCACAGAATCTCCCCACATCCTTCTTGTCCATTTAGCCTCTCCAGATTTATTCAGAATTCCTGAACCAGTACTGATATTTCTACATTAGGCAATGAGGGGACCATTTATAATCCAGAGAAGTGAAATCCACTGTTCTAGTTGAACAACTCAGTTGATTAAACTGATTTGTTTTGTTTTCAGTCCATCCCTTTTTCAATTTTAAGGATTCAGTGTTTAGGTAGTACAAGTCATATTTCATTTGGTTATATTAAAAAGTTGCTGAAATCAGTATTTAGATAGTGTAAATCTCAAAAGCTGAATTTAGGCTTTAAGACTGGTGCATATTAAGTACCAACTTCTTTATATCAATATTAGAATGCAACTCACTGTACACAGGATGAAGATAGCAACCCTAGTTAAATACAGCAGGAAGGATCCAGTACAGACTTATCACTAAACTATTCTGTTTTCTAAACATGTCATGCTGGCATAACATTTAAGTGATATTACTTAAGCGTTTCCCCTTAGTAAAAAAAAAAAGAATCTTTCACCCACCAAAAAGCTTAATCAAAAAATTCCTCTTAGAGGTCTTGTCTTAAACAGAAATATCCCTAAGTATTAAAAAGAGTTTTAAAAAAAAAAAACCAGTTACGCTGAAGATTTGTTTCACCATGTTTTATTTTTCCTGAATTCAGTTAGGAGAATGGGCAATTAAAGCACCTTATGGAGACAGAGCCAAATCTCCCATAAATATTATTTTATAGCCAAGCTACAAGTCCAAGCTGCTTCCTGAATACCAGTTTCACAAGCTGCAGGAGAAAGGACTCCGTCAGAACCAGCTAATTGAATTTCTAAATCCAAACTTGTTTAGTATTAAGGAATCATTGTAAATTTCCTGAAGAGATGAGAAATCTTATTTATTTGTCATATCATGAAAGTACAACTTGAATACTCTCACTACAGATCCAACTTCCAATACTCACATCCTGATTATATTCCAAGAAGACGTGGAAATTTAAATCCTTTCTCAAAATTGGATGTGCTGCCACACGGCACAAGAACACTTCATGCATTGCAACCGTCTTCTTGAATATTGCCAAATATTCACTGAAAACAACAAAAAAAGAAATTAAAAATTTCCAACTGAAGCAATTAAATTTCTATTCAGCCTATTGAAAAAATTAAGATGTCTTTATCTATAGAAAAAAGTGTTAGCTGAAGTATCCAAGTTATTATTCCAGCTCCCAGTGCACTTCAAATCAGTATATAACACAATGTGCATATGAAAAAAATAATAATGCTAAAACATAAAAAAAATCATACCTTTACAATACTACATAGGCAGGACTTCAGAAATAGTAAAAGAGTAGATATAGGCCTTTTAAATCAGGATGCAAATGAAATCTGCATGTTGGATTCACAAGGAGTATATTATAGATGTAACCAAATTTAAGCTTTCCATATATTATCAAAAAGTTAACAAGGTGCAGACTACCACACCAGTCACTGTATAGCCTTATTTACAAAATCCTTCCTTTCACATCTCCATCTGTTTGCTCCCACCTCATTTGTTTGTATTTTGTTAATTTAGTTGAGCTTGTATTTCAAAGAATATAGAGCAGGTCACATAAAATTTATGTGCCTTTTTTGCTTGCTTCTGCCTTTAAAACTACCATTAAGATGTTAAGCTTAGCGCACAGATCCAAAAGAAAGTTTCATCAGGATAAGCTTTCAGTTGCCCAGTTCAACCAACAGAGTTTTAAAGGAGTAACTGAGAATTATGATGAAGATAATTATAGAGGAAGAATATCTATTCTTATCAATACAAGCTGCTATAGTTGATTGTTTTACAGTCGAATGGATAATTTTATTAAGTTGTGTTGCTTGGAGAGAGATTACAAGACACCTTCTTCCCCATCCTCAAATTAACTATGTAATGATAACTGGCACTCTTTGCTTCCACTATGTGCAAGGATAAGATTTACATACCAGCAAACCAGCAGGACCAGTGTTGGGGTGTGTTTGATCTCTGTGACAGTAGTAGTCATTCAGTGTAGACAGAAAAGAAGGATTCAGAGGATGAAGGTGGCAGTAGAAGAAACCCAAGGTTTTTGTGTTATCCAGCCCCTAACCAGACCACAAGAGAATCATGATCAGGGCCACCAGAAAAATCACAGATTCTTCCAAATTTATTATGTTTTGCCAATTTTCAGTTTTCTGGCTTATGACATCTCTCTCGCACACTGGTCCAACATGATACTAACACACTTGCTCACAATGGTTGGATGTTGGCAAATGGAGTTCCCTTTGCCAATCACTTTCAAATTCTTTTCCTACCACTTTGGTACTTGAGAGAAGCAGTCTGGTAGCCATGTAAACATGCACTTGAGAAATGAAACCAGTGAATAGAAGAAAGAATAAAGAGGTTGTCTCAAGAGAGAAAAAAGCAGGACTAAAAGAAAAGTACTCCATGTTAAGTCACATAGTACAGCCTAAGCCCTATAGCAAATTCTCAATCACTTAAAATTGTGCAACTAAGAGAGTCCTTATTTTCAAGAAACACATTTTTTTTTGCAAAATCTGGATTCTCCTCAAAAAAAAAGTCCAAGCAATTATCAAATGTCCATTCAGCAACTGCTTACAAACAGCTGATGACAGCTGTGACTGTACAAGCCCCTGTTTCTTTACAGCTTTGCAAGCTCGTCAACTTCTCCTATTTCAATTGCTAGGAAGAATGTAAAATTTGCATTTTCAGTTGCTACTAGCAAAAGTAGCTCAGTTCCCAAATATATAGACCTTTCTGTTTCACTGTAAGTACATAGTGGGCATGTCTACACGTCACATTAACATGCATTAAAGCATTGCAAAAAAAAAGCATTAGCTAATACACATTAAAATAAGCTACTGTGCATTTTTCCAGGACCTTACAATGAAGGTAGTACATTTAATGTGCATTACCTAAAGAACATTAATTGAACATGCAAGCAGCCTAGTGAAAACCAAAAAGCAGGTCAGAAAAGACTGGGGATGCAATACGTCTTTTACAGTTTGCTTTAAAAAAAAAAATGAATTAATAAACAAACTGTTGTTTGCTTTTGGTTTTCAGCAAGTATGTATACCCCCTATAGAATTCCCATCATTCTGGACAATAATTTCTACAATTTTCCTTATGGCTCTGATCATGATCACTGAGGTAACACTAGTTATATGGTAACTCTGGATACTCAAAACTGTATCTTCCAGAAGGAATCACTGTGTTGAAATGATCAAAAGTATGAGACAGCAGAGAGCACTTAAAGTGAATTGTAATCCACACACAATAGTGAAAAACAGGTACGCACGCTTCCAGTTCTTGTTTCATCTTGGTGAACTCTTCTTTAGTCATCGATCCTTCCCCTTCTCCAAGTTTCTGTAGTTTTTCTCTAGAGGCATCAAAATCAGGCCTGGGTGGTGCCGGTGGGATCTGTCAAATGAGTCAATCAGGGAGTACTTTTGAATTCCTCACCTTCTTAGTCAAAGTTAAAGCCCTTCAAATAAGGATACAGTAAGATGCTTGTAATTTTTAGACCCAAAATCCTCATCCCCAACCCATTAACACACCTAGGGAGAAGAAGACTTACCTTATGAATGATTCGTGGAACACAAGAGCCCTAATATTTCATTTTCTAGTCATGGTTTCCTTTCATATTACTAAAAAATTAAGTTCTGATTTCACAGCAGTCTTATATAAATTAAGCAGCATTTAATTCACTGAATTAACTTGATTCAACCAGTTCGGAGGTTTTCTCTAAGGTATTTTCCAAAATGAAATTACTATCCTCCATACATTTTCTGGAAAGCTAGGACTCAAAGTCACTGATCCCAGGGTTTGCACATGCCAAACTGTTATTGCTAGCTAAACTGTTGGCATTAAAGAATAAATTGACTGGAAAAGAAGTTAACGTAACACAAAGTAAGAACAGTACAATAAGTACACTTTGAGCTAAACTTTCAACTGTATTATGATGCACACTGTATGTGGAAGAATTCAACCAAATGGTTCTTGCATTACTATGAAAAAGTATATTAGGGTAAATGAACCAAATTATCCCCCAGTCTAAACATGTAAGCAGAAAGAACTTCCTTAAGAAAAACTTTTCACTTCGTCATAACCTATTACCACATACAAAGAAGGTCTTAAAGGCTACGAAACCAGTCAGACACTTCCATTTATATAACTTACAACATCTTAAAAGAGAGAGAGATTATTTTCCAAGTAACTTTTAATTGTGAAAAAGGAGTAAAATGCAATATGAAAAGTAAAAATGTTGTCAATATGCATTTGAGCACAACACATATGCTGTAGGCACTACCAAAACAAAAGGGGGTTTTTTTTGGTTACACACTGTTTTTAAAAAGAGCATTCAATGAAATGTAAAAGCCTCTAGCAAGTTAAATATCTGAGATTCCTGTATTATAACAGTAACTCATTGTTAGTTGCTTTTTAAATAGCCACTTTCATCATGCAACTATGCTAGGGACATCCACTCCCTGAAGGCCTAGACTAAGTCACAAATGGAAAGCCAGCTCAATTATGCATTAGTTTTCGTTGTAGTATTCTAGACCATATTTGCCCCCTCGCCTTTACATAAATCCAACATAAAAACGGATTCTGCTTATTTCATTGTATACTATTCCCAACAGAAAATTCGAGAGAAGCAATGACTTTGAAGCTTAATGCTCCACCCTTCTGCCACAAAAGAAACTTGAAACTTAACATCAGTAAGTTAAGTATTAACTCCTGAAAACAATATCACCAAGTTTCAGAGGCGTTCTATGCGTTCAAAGTTTTAAACTAAACTGCCTCAGGACAAAATAAAACATTTAGCCACTCTGAATTCTTAAAAGTAAAAAAAAAAAAAAAAAAAAAAAAAAAAAAAA